GACATCAACATCCTGTAGCGGAAAGCAGCGACAAGGAAGACGAAGACGAGGGTAAGAAGGATGGACTCCATGGCTTAACAGAGTGTAAGGGAAATGAAGCTGAACATTAAGAGAATGGAATTTCCATTGTGTTCGTAATGTGGCGAAGGATTTCCACATTTCACTGTTTTTCAAAGCTTTGTAATGGGATTGGTAAGATTTTCCCGGCATTTAAGGAAGCATTGAATTTGTAAGTGTAATTTTTTACACGCACATCAACATTAATAAGTTCATTCTTCAAGGATATATGTATTTAATTTTTGGGAAGCAGGGCTGGTGGTATCGGTTAATTTTCTCATCATCAAAATATCATTCAAGGTTTTTTCTCAACTAGCAAATTGGACTACTCAAAGGCTCCTATGTATTTTCCTTTCTTGGTTCTTAAGAACATCTCATCACTCTTTTTATGAATTATTCATAAGTGGCCAGTAATTGATGAAGTTGTTGCCAACTGACAAACAACTTTAATGTTTTTTTAAAAAAGATCGTCTTTTATCTCTCTTTTTCTGTTCCCAAGGTTTGAATTTTCAATTCTTTTTACCACTGGGGTTATTAGATTTGAATTTTCCATTCTTAATTTAAAAGGTAATAGGTGGATAACTAGGACTCACAATATTTTGGACAACGGGAATTCAAATTTTTGACTTCTTGAATACTCTAATTAGTTGAGTTATCCGAATCAATATTAAGAGTATTTGGCCTAAACCTAAATAAGGTGACTGGGGTTTGCTTGTCCAGAGCGAGGGATTTGCTATTCATCTTTTAAGCTGTGTTCTTCTAAAAACAAATACCTATATAACCAAATACAAGCTAGACATAGAAAATACTTCTCAAACAAACTACATCAATTCTCAAGAATAGTCTACAAATTTAATTTAGGTTACCAAACTCAAAATTCTACCAACTCGATCTTAGATACTAGCTCAACTAATTACGATATATATTATCAATAAAGAGGTAAAAAATTTGAATCTACATACCTTGCACGTTGTTGAACTAACAAAAACCAAATCTACAAGCGGTGCCTCATAATTAAAAGAACAATTAAAAAACGTATGCTATATTTGGTCTGTAAAACTAAGTATATACAAATATCCAACAGAAGGAAGTTGTGTGCTGAGAAACACTGAAAAAGGAAGGGAAATGAGAAAGGAGTTTTGCTGACAAAGTGAGGAAGTACAGGTTTAGTGAGAGAAAAGGGAGAAGTAAATATGGTGCATATAATAAGACCACCTACCATTTTAATATCAACAAGACTTGGAAATGCTACAATACACAGAAAAGCTAAGGCTCTTTTCTTTTTCATCTACATTGTTAATTGTGTTGTCCCTTTACCTTTCCCTTCTCTCTGTCAATCAAACTCATGTTGCGTGGGTATCTCACATGGCGTGGGAAAATGGGACTGCTCTCTCTTCTCTTTACTTTCCCTCATCCATTATTTGCAATTTTGCAACTAAAATTTACTTACTGTGGCAGGCTGGTGGTGGTTGAAGTTGTCATCTTAACTACATGCCTTTATTCAAGGATCATGGCCACACGTCTACCTAAAGGGGATGGCCTTTTTTTGTTTAGACAGTGAAATAATGGTTTAAACCAGGTTTCATACTGTCTGCATAATAAGAGAGAAGATGGTAGGACTGGTAGCTACATTGTAATGACCGTCTAATAATTTTCTGTCTTTATGTATTAGTTATTTCTTTGTTACTACTTTTTGGAGGCTTTTATTCTTGAAAAGTTCAAGAATGTGACAATTATTACAACACAACAATTTTGATCTTAACTTTCAGTTTGACTGTTGTGAATATCTTTGCTAGGATTTGCTTTTGAAATCTTTAGCAATTTCAAAAACCGAACATGGGTTTTTTTGGATAGGATAATACCTGCTTTTCCTAGTTTCGAAAGATTTTAAAAGAATGCTTTTAGGATGTAGACAACTATAAAGGCTAAGAGACCTAATTTCAAAACCAAACTGTGTATCAAAACCTAATAAAAGAAGTCTTAGATGGCTGTGGCAAAGATTTTCAATCTCCAGATAAGGAAAACCCTCACTGGACAATCTTGGTTTTCTTAATTCCTATGAACCATTCTTCATTAATGCCAAAGACAAGAGGAAGTGTTACAGCAAGATTGAAAAGGCAGCCGCTGTGAATGAACATAGGGGTCGCCAACTGGGAGGAGATAAAGAGTATGATACATTTGGTGGAAAGGAAAAAGAATGGTAAATAATGTAATGTGATACAGAAGAAGATTAAATAATGGGTCAATCGAGATTAAAGAGGGAGTAGTTCAGCTAATAAAAAAGACCATTTAATGCATGATGAAGATTTTAAATTGTTTGAGAGGTTTAGAGTTTCCAGGACATTTGTTGGGAGAGAGTGAAACCTGGCAGCCTGCTTTTAAATTCCACTATAATTACGGGGAGAAAGCTAGGAAAGCTGCTACTCTTTTGTCATTTTCTTGATAGACCAGTGCTCTTTTGAACTCCCTTCTTCAATACTATGTATATAACAATGCCATGGAAAGCTGTCTCCTCGACTCCATAGCTTCACTTCGCTTCAATCTCTCCTCTCTCTCTCAGAACCAGAAGATTTTTAGTCACTCGTCTCTTTCTGAACTGGGACTTTCCCTCCAATGGCTGTGGTATGTGCTGAAGCAGCACCACAACCACTTAGAGCACAGGTAACATGCCTTCCCATTAGCAAGTTTTTAACTTTCTTTTCTTCTTCTTTTTCTTCTCCTGGGGTATCCTAGCTCATCCTCTTCTTTTGTTAACAGGTTTGGATCTTGAAAGTTTCTATTCACTGTGAAGGATGCAAGAGGAAGGTTAAGAAAGTTCTACAGAGCATTGATGGTACCATTCCTTATTGTAAACTTTTACTGTTTTTGGTTTCAAATGTGTGAGAAAATTATCAGCTGACAGTCATGATCTCAAACCACTACCATCAGGTGGAATAGATGAAGAAAGTTGAATTTTTTTTTTTTTTCTATGTTAGTTTTCTTCCTAGCCAAACGTAGGAGAATTTGGGTACTTCTACAATTGACCACTGGTCCAAATATTTGGAAGTGATGGCTTTTCTCAATCTTGTAGGTGTTTATACGACCATCATTGATTCAGAACAGCAGAAAGTTACGGTCACCGGAAATGTTAGCCGTGAGACTCTGACCAAGAGGCTCGCAAGAGCAGGTAAACAAGCGGAAATTTGGCCAGAAAAGCCAGCAGAAAAAGAGAAACAGTTCATCAAGATGTTGGCGACTGACAAAGGGAATGGCCAAGAAAATGGAATAAGTCCGAGTACAAACAAAGCTTCAGCAAAGAAGGTTGAGTTTAGAGTCAGCCCTGACAAGAATAACCGTGTAGAACAGATTGAAAAGTCAAAGAATATTGGAAGCTCTATCAAAAAGCTTCCGGCCGGGGAGTCGCCGCCGGTGGCCAACTACAAGGGCAATGCTACTGGACATGAGGGTTATTCTCCAGACAAAAGTGGGGTAGGGCAGAGTGGTGAAAAGAAGAAAAAGAAGGGGCATTCAGGTATTATCAACGGTGATAAATCAGGTTCGAACCCCCAGAATGGACATGGAACACTCAATGTGGATCCAGATGTGGACCTAAAAAATGGTAGCCCACTGGCCCAACAAATATACATGGGCCCTAAGGGTTATTACTTTCCTCCACCTACTTCGGGGTTAAACTACTATGCGCCGCATTTAGTTAAAGGTCCTGAATTGCTTTACCATGTCCCACCGATTCCATTTTCACATTCGAATGACCAGACTGGAAACTATGAGGATCAAGCAAAGCCACAGACCTACCTGGATTATTTCAGTGAAGAAAATGCCCATGGGTGCATCATTATGTGATCTACAACCCAGCCAATCTCAAATCAAAGGCAAGAGATGATGATTTGAAGTGCTAATTTTTAGTAAAACAGCGGAGCATGAATATAGATAGATGTACATTGTACATGAGTGAGGTCCAAAATGGCAGGAAGGTTAGCAAGTAGCAAAGTTTTGAAGGGTTGGGTGCTTCTAATTTTTTGGGTGAAAAGTACTTTAGGGTTATTGTGTTCTCTGTCAAATGAAAACTTTTTGCAGAAGCTTTCTAATGACTCTGACTAGGAGTAATCTATAAAACTATTCAATTTCAAGTTCATCGCCATAGTTCATTGGTGTACATTATTCAGCCTGAGATATTTCTTCTATTTAGAACAAATGAATTCATACATACTTCGAAAATGTGCACAGCATTAAGCATTTTTGGTTCTTACTCTAACATGCCCCCACTCAAATCCAAATCCCTGTCTGTCATTAGCATATATCTAAAGCAAATTCAGCAAAGGGTCAAACAAGAAAATGGTAACAAGCTCATATTATCAGAACAAATCAAAATAGTACGTAATTACCAGAGTTGTTCCATTATCTAGGACCCAAACAATTCAGAAGAAAGCGAAACCATTAGCATTCGAAGGACATTTTTTTTCCTAGTCTTCAGTGCATCTTGGACCAATCAGTTTGCGTGTAAATTGAATTTAGGAGCCATCACTGGTGAAGAAAGATAATTGTCATTCTCCGTGGGAGAAGGTAATGATATTTGCAGGCCAACTTTACAGGGGAGGATGGATATATGAACCATCACAATCACTCGTGAAGTCACGTGTGTAAACAAAGGTCAATGCCAGAACCTGGAAATGTTCTTAGCGGCGAGTGACTTTGTGGGATCAAAAACTTGGTGAATTTTATCAAAATAAGATGTAGAATCTAACAGACCCTAAAAGATGGTGAAATTCTTGAGTTGTATTCTTTTTTTTTTTTCTTTTTTTCTTTTTTTTTTTAAGTATGGGAATGGGAGAAAAACTTGTCATATATGTACCTTAACCACCAAGCTTCGTTTTTCTAGTTGCATCTTAAATTAAGCATATTAACTGATAAAAGGTAGTATGGCATTATCTGATAGATTGACTTCAATGAGAAGGAACAATTATATTTATGAATAGTATTTCCAATTATATCGGTCCAGACCCACCACTAAGACAATTCTTTGTGGTTACATCCAAACTTTAATTGTTCTACGATCTTTGAGCAAACTACATCTAAGAACGACGGAACCTTCACTATAATTAATAGGTATTTTATTGTAAAGGTTCAAGAACCAGATTTGAGAACAAGAGGTTCTTTGATCAGATTTTGAGCTAAATAATGTCAAGAAATATAGAACCCTACCAAAATCCATAATCTCTCACTCAGATATATAAGGGACGAGAACTACCACTACAGAATATAACTATGGAACAAAATGAGCTAAAGTAAGGTGAAAATGGCCAAATTTAGGCTTACATGCTAGTAGATGCCCTTGTGGTGCGCTGATTTGTTCCAAGGATGATTACAATAACAGTTACATCATCGTGATATTTCCTTCTTCTTCCGGCTGGAATGGTAATTAATTCTTCCTTGCTAAAACCTATAAAACAGAAGTTCTTACACCATCAGCACCGGTTGATGCAAACAGAACCGACATTTTAAGTTACCAGCACAAGATTAGTTTACTTCTGAGCAATATTTCTAAGACGCCCAGTATTTCATAGTTTTCTTATGGGGTATATGATGTGATGATAATGAAGAACTCAGCTCCTTTTAAGAACTAGTGTCTTTCGAGGTTAGGTCTGACTTGTGTACAAAGTTCAAGCTGAGGCAAAACTGTACTAAAGACTTCGTACGCAGAAAAGCCTATAGAAAAGTCATGGTAAAAATAAGCGTTATAATACTGCTATCATTTCTCCAGCCGGCCAAAGGCAGATATGAAGGGCAGTGCCCTCGCTGAACTTACACTCAATTTCAGTATCCTTCAATAACGACAAGAATTTATAATATTAAAGGACAGCTCTCCAAAAAATATCCTAGGGGAGAACAGCTAAGAGGATACTATCTAAAAGCAGCAAGGGTACTCCAACCTCAACTTGTTCCCACAGCAGTAGCTTTAGTCGAGAATTAAATGATAGCAATAACAGTCCCTATTTCTTCTTCCTTTTCTTTCCCAATAGTGTCAAAAGTTTTTAATATTATATCCTCTCACAAGGAATTGAGAGTTCACCTTTTTGTTGAACGGAAAGCTTAACATTAGACATATAAGCAACTTTTATCACAGAAAATTAACAATAAAACAAACTGAAAAGTTGACTTAGCTATCAACATCATATGACAAGAAATGTAAGCTTTAAAGACGTCCTATTTTTTTAGCCGTGCATTTATGATAATATCATGGCAAAGATAAGTCAACAAATAGTAAACTTTTACTTCCATAAATGTAAATTGGGAAACGATTCAAACATTCACACAAAGCTATCTTTGGAGCTCACCTGCGCAATTAGCAGCTTTCAATAAGAGCTGCTCCAGTAAATATTTTGCAGGATCACCAGTTGGGTTGCTCAAGATATATGAATGGACAAGGTTCACTGCCTCGTCATTGCCAAAAAAGTCAAATAAACCATCACTGCCAACTATTACAAAGCAATCTGATTTTGATATCCTATGGACAGACAATGCCGGTTGAGTAGAAATATAGGGAGGGCTTATTAGGTTACGAACTCGAAGAATACCCATCAAAGCATCATTAAACTTTTTCTGCAGAGAAATAAATGTATAATAATCAAGTTAAGATGGACTAAAATCGTTTCCAGCAATGCAGACTAGGTGGTATACCTGGTTCACTCAGAAATGAATACCATTTTTAGCATTGATACCACATCAACTTCGTCCTGAAAATTCATGTCCTATATATAATAAAGTGATCATGCATATTGATTTTTCTGTCCAGAGCTGATACGGATTATCAATGTCAGATGATCTCCAAAGTGACAGGAGAAAAACAGATAGAATCCTTACAAGTATCGGTTGGGGTGGTGGTTTCGTATAAAGAATATGCATGGTTAAGGCATAGCTATGGTAAAATATCAAAACAGGTAATTATAGGTTAGCACGAGTACTTTGACAGAGAATGTTTTCTAATAAAAACTGGCCAAAAAAAGTCACCAAAACTCTATTTTGTTTAGCAGCCTGCATGCTTCTTTTATTTATTTATTTTTTTCTGACAGAAGCAACCTGCATTATTACTAGCATATTAAGACAGTGCCGCTATTTTATCTATTAATAAGTTTCTATACACTGCACAAGCAAAGAAATAATTTCGTGTTATATGAGATTTTGGCCATACTGACAGGCACGCAATGTATAACTGTCGCATACCGTCTTCAAGTAGCCAACTCCAAAAGCACGAGTCACCTTCAGTTTTCCTTTGACTTTCCCACCAACAATGATTGTGGGATCATCAGGATGATCATATTGTAACTTCGCTCTTTCGAGTGCATTATCCACAGTGTGACTCTCAGTGAGCTGGACAGCTTTCAGTCCCCTATTCCCTCTCATTGCACCTTCATCAAGAGTAGCCAGTACTGCTCTACTATCACCCAAATTTAATGTATATAAATCCTTTCCATGAAGAAGAACAACTAAAACACAAGATCCAACAGAAACTAAATCAGGACGATCCTCCATTTCCTGTTCAACCATGTGCAAAAAATCATTCTCTGTTTGACTAAGAGCACGCTGGAGGCTATCTAGCACCCCATGCCTTAGAGGATAGTTTGCCATTCCTGCTTTGGCATGTGAACGTTTCTCAAATATATTGTTGATATCTGAAGCACTTTTACTATTGTTTCTCAAAGTAGAAAAACTTCTCTGAGTAATGCTACAATCATCGAGATGTGAATTATCCATGTCCAAAATATCCGAGGTTTCACTCTTAGCTCCCCAATCTAGTAGGCTAAAATAAAACACGATGGTTTCATACAATGTCCCAGCAAGAAAATCAGCTGCATCTCTTCCATTAAAACCGTCATAAATTGCACAAAACAGCCATCCATTTTCTTCGGAACAAACAGCTTGGACCCTGTCCTCACCAGCAGCTCCACCTGCCACTTGCAATTCCTTAACATTAAGAAAACCTTCACTTCCGGAAGGAGCACTCGTGGACTTTAACAAGCATGAATCATATTCAGATGTTGGGGTAGATGGACTGCAACTTAAGTTTGACAGACTACTCTGCAGAGACGTTGACAATATATCCAACCTTGAAAGAGTAGGTGATGAGGGCACCTTACGGAAGGAGTTAGGAGAGTCCCAGGTCGGAAGTATTTCTACTCCTATCAACCCATTGCATATATTTGTGTTAGCTAAGGTTGCATTTGCACTCAAAGCAGCCCCAGATAAGCAAGAGAAACTGCTGATCCTTCGAAGTCCAGGCTGGATCTCGAATTTGTCGGAAACCTCAATTCCATCTATGTTACCATTGCATTTATAACCAAAGCTAACTTCAAGTTCTCCCTCGGCTTTTGTTGAAGCTTCTTGAAGCATACTATATCACTGTTAAAACAAATACATTTCATATTTAAAGCTCTTTAATAATAAAATTGGCCAAGTTCAGTTACTAGGCAACATTTACAATTTTAGTCAGATTTGAAAGGTCACACTGGATTTCCTTCTCTGTGCCACTACATAAATCCAAAGAAACTTGAAACTACGACTTCTAAACTGTGAAGATTATTTTAAACCCAGTATGTATAATATCAATTAATTGGTTGAAAATTGAAGTGTGCACCATTGCTGATGTTAATTGACAAATGCAAATTCCTAACTACATGCGTCTGGTTCCATTCCTACCATATACTCTTTCTTTTTATCGTCTCTCTCTCTCTCTCTTCTTTGGGGGTGGGCGGGCATTTGCTGATCTATATTTCTCCATATTTCCTTTTACGTATATCTCATATTTCTCTTTCATAATTATTCTTCCTTTATATAAAGATCCTTATAGAGCTCCAGTCAGAAGCCATTAAACTAGTTTGCTTAACAATCCACGTGTTTGGCTCCTTTCGTCAAATTCTCAAGTTCTTCTCAACCCAAAAATCATCCAACACATAATCTTAGTAGAACAACGCGACGGGTATTAATCTGATAGAAAATCCATACTCCAATTTCCTTTAGGCCTCAATCAAATTTGATTAGCCCATATGAACTCCTCCAACACTTCTGTTATTTTTCCTTTCCTTTCGAAAAACTAAATTTAGCCATGCAAAGAAAAAATAAACAGTGAAATAATCACACAGTTCCAAAAAGTACAAGAACATGACAAAGAAACACGAAATAGCATTCCAGTATCATATAGCCACGAAAACAATTAATTTCTTAACTTCAACGGCAGCTACAGAAAAACGAATTGCACTTCAAATGAAAAGGAAAGAGAAAGATAAACTAATCAAGCTCACAGAAATTAACCGCCAGCAATACGAATAATCATCAGAGAGGAGAAATAAATACTGGAGTTAACCAAACCAAAAAACTTCAAACCGAGCAGACAATCAATCAAACACCGATCCAGAGAAGAACCAAAAAACCTAATAAAGAAGCCGCACAGCCGCCAAAAACACCAACACACGCTTCAATCAATTAAACTCAGCAATTCAAAACGACACTTGCAAATACTTAATACAACAAACAAACAAGCTGCCGGTATTGGTATTAACGATAGAGAAGTGATAACGAAGCAGTTGCAAATTGAAAAACAAGAAAAATAAAGGCAGAGACGCACCTGAGAGCAGAGAATTGAAGCGAACGGCGATCAAGAAGAGAAGCGAAAGGCAGAGGAAGAAGTGAAGAGAGAAGCAGGGAGGGAAGAACACATAGGGAGATAGAGGAAGAAAAAGAGGGAAAGTGTGTTGAGAGAGAAGCAATGAGTGAAAGCGAAGACAGAAATGGGAATGGAGGAGAATCTGTATCTGAGTGGTACGTTAAAAGGCGAAGCCATTGGATGGCCAGGAACAACCTCTGCTAAATTTGGAGAATTTTTTTTTTAATTTTTTAATTTTTTAATTTTTTAATTTTTTAATTTTTTAATTTTATTTTTTACAGCCTTTTGCTGATTTAATGCTGCGCCTTTTTGTTTAATATCTTACTAATTAATTATCCAACTTCCTAACTATTTTTTTTTCAACTTAAATGTGCTTTTTCTTTCCTAATATATCTTCAAATTATATTATTTAGTATCATATTTTAAAAATTTACATTAAACTTTTAAAATATAAAAAAGTTTTGAAATGGTGGGACATAAATAGTTTTCGTCCATATATTAACGGTAAAATATATATATATATATATATATATATATATATATATATATATTTTTTTTTTTTTTTTTTTTAATAGGTTAAGAAATTCAAAAAAAAATTAAAAATCGAAATGATCTATGAGGGGTAGATGGACGATTTCCATGGATATATTTTTAAAAAAATTACAATTTTTACGAGCATTTTAGTAAGGTATTTTTTAACTTTGTTAAAAAAAAAAAACAATTTAAGTTGAATCATATTTTTGAAAAAATATTAAAAAAAAATTAAGAATATTTTTGAAATAAAATATTATTAATTTTTTTTAATAATATGTTTTTTTAATTTAATATTTTCAATTCAACGCATGAATTTTTAATTATAACAAGGAGGTTGAAAAACTATCAGATAGTTCTTTTAAATAAATAGAGAAAAGTTGAAGGAAAAAAAGACGAGAAAATGGCTTCTATCCATGATTTCTAATATTTTCTTTAATTTAAAAAATTATTAGAAAATTTAAATGGATTCATTTATAAAAATTTAAAATTTTAAGATTGTAATGACAAATTTACATTTTTTTTTTTTCTAATGAGCATATCATAATAACTTTTAGAGGCTAAAGTAATTCAATTAATTAATAAATTTATATTTTAATATATTTTTTTTTAGTTAAAATATATTGTAATTTAAATTCATTAATGAATTTTAACATCTAGTGAAACAATAAAGAATGAAATTGAAATGTTTAAAGGGCTAGAATCCCAATTGGAAAATGACAGGAACACGGCCCGTGAAATTACCTATTTAGCCTTTTATTTTCATTTTAAAACCTCATATTTGTCTATTGGTAATTTATTTATTTAAGAAAGTAATTTTTATATTAATTTTATCTCCAAAATTGAATAATATTTTAAATTAGCCTTCATCACAGAATAATTAATAAAAAGTAAGCTTTTTAGTTTTATGAAATGCATAACATTATTTTCATTATTTTGCATGATTGAACGAGCTTTGTCCTAATAAGTTACAAACGACCTTACTCCTTACGTGTTACAACGTTATTGGCTTATAATTCAATTAATACAACATGAAAACTATATTATAAAATAAAATTAGAAGAAAAATGTAAAATATTTCCATATGGCCCCTACAAAGGACATCTGGATTTTAAAGGGAGGAGGAGGCAAAGTTGAAATGGATTGGCTTTTCAGCCACTGAAAGAACCATTAGTTTAATACGAACTGATTGTGTACCACTATCAACTATGAAAATAATGGACTTCATAGAATGGAACAAAACAAAACAAGCTTGAGGCTTTCATCAGATCATGAACATAAAAGGAAGAGATCTCTTTCTTTGTCCCTTTCTCCCTTTGTCTTTCTACTGTTTATGAATTTGATTTGAACGACGATAATGACAATGACTTCAAATCATCGTTAACCATAATCATAGTTCGTCATTTTCATCGTCATCGATACTTCACTTCTCAATATCCAGTCACTTCAACATTGCATATCGCATTTGCTCAATCAAGTTGCCTTTAGCATTTTTATTTGAATCTAAAGAAAGAATCTCTCGATCTCAAGTGAGACTCGCCCCCCACTGGGTGTCCCCAATCTCTTTCGAAAAACAAGGCAGCTCATCTCACTAAACTGCTGAGAGGGCGAGAGTGCTTCTTGCTTGGGCCCATTTGTTGTGGTCTACAACTACCACTTATGGTTCCCGAGACCGCAACGTTTGCGCAAACCTAATTTGGCTTTACAATGAGCATATGTTAGAAGATGCAAACAAAATCCTTCGACTAACAAATCCCTTGCATTTCATTCTGAAAAATCTAGACACAATAAGAACTCTTAGATGAGATGCAACTAACAAATCCCTTGCATTTCATTCTGAAAAATCTAGACACAATAAGAACTCTTAGATGAGATGCAGTCAGTCTCTTTCTTAGAAATTGCTATGCTATCCTATGATCATACAGATAAATTCAAGGCCATTAACCTAAGCAGACACAAAAAGAACAAATGAGCTACCATGGAAAATGTGTAACTAGTTCTCGTTTTCTTTTCTCATTATTAACAACATCGCCAAGGACAACCTATCGGAAGCTTAAAGGCATCCTATCATATCAACAAAACATGAGCCCATATAGAAGCTCACACAACCTATCGGAAGCTTAAAGGCATCCTATCATATCAACAAAACATGAGCCCATATAGAAGCTCACTTTGGTAATTCCTTTCAATGGAAAATGAAATTCAACATATCTCATTCACCTTAGTTTTGTACCTTATTCACCCACCAAAGCTTGTACCGACTCGGGTGCAGTCAAGTTTGCATTGAAAGAAACTAACGAGGTTAAATTGTCGAAAGAAACTAACGAGTTTAAATAGGTTCAAAATTTTTCATAAGTGTAACTCTATCCTTAAATTGTCGAAAGAAACTAACGAGTTTAAATAGGTTCAAAATTTTTCATAAGTGTAACTCTATCCTTGAAAACGTTGATGTAGAGATGAACCAGACCAGCACAATCATCTATTGTTGATGAACTTCGACTTTCTTCTTGTGCCAGAGCCGATCCAGGGCGCTGTCAGCATCTCCCTGTAAAGCACCAGAAGTATATAAATATCAGCGTAGAGAACTCAATTCCTCTAAAAAATTTATTAATTCTCCCGCCCCAAAGGCCCCCACAACAAATGATTCATGTCTTACATCCTTCCAACAAAGAAGGCATGGAAAACCCAAATGAAAAAAGGAGAGTGCTCCCATAAAATAAAAAGACCTTCCAACAAAGAAGGCATGGAAAACCCAAATGAAAAAAGGAGAGTGCTCCCATAAAATAAAAAGACAACAGACACATGATGATTTCTCGTGGAAGATAAATGATATAAACAAGGAAACAACAAGCGAAGGGGAACTCCGATACTTGAACTTGTTGGATGATGAAAGTCCTACATCGACTAATTTAGGGAATGATCATGGGTTTATAAGGGAGGAATATTAACTCCATTGGTATGAGGACTTTTGGGGAAGCCCAAAGCAAAGCCATGAGAGCTTATGCTCAAAGTGGACAATATCATACCATTGTGGAGAGTCGTGTTCGTCTAACATGGTATCAGAGTCATGCCCTAAACTTAGTCGTGCCAATAGATTGGCAAATCCTCGAATGTCGAACAAAGGACTCCAAAAAGAAAAAAGGAGTCAAGCCTTCTCGAAGGTACGAAGGCAGTCAAAAATGACTAAGACTCCAAAGGAGTCGAGCCTCGATTAAGGGAAGGCGTGCTTTGTTCGAGGGGAGGTGTTGGATGATGAAAGTCCTATATCGACTAATTTAGGGAATGATCATGGGTTTATAAGGGAGGAATATTAACTTCATTGGTATGAGGCCTTTTGGGGAAGCCCAAAGCAAAGCCATGAGAGCTTTTGCTCAAAGTGGACAATATCATACCATTGTGGAGAGTCGTGTTCGTCTAACAGAACTAACTTAGAAAAAGAAGGTAACTCAAAGGCTATTTCTACTACGGGTGTGAGCCTTTGACCCCACCCGACCATCACTCAGAGATTAGGATCATACTTACAATAATCCTATACTATTAGGAATCTGACTCGAGAGGAACCGCTAGAGCAATTTTGCAAACAAGGTTCCGTTACAAACCCTGAGATTCTCAGGATCTAACCCACCAAAAGTCGACAGTTTTTCCACCATCACCCATCTCACAAAGTGTGCTCCTTCCCGCTCATAAACCCCTTCCCAANGGGGGGGGGGGGGGGGGGGGGGGGGGATAAATAGGGATTCCAGTAAAGCATACAGCTAACGAGAGTCATTCAACCAACTTAAGAGAAGGTGAGATCAAGAAACTTTGTCCTCTCCAACCTCAAAACCCTCTAGAATTCTTCCCTCAATACCTTTAACGACCATCCTACTAAAAACATCCACAACAAGCATGAAAAGAAGAGACAAAGGTTCACCTAGCCAAAGATATCTCAAAACTTTTACTTTACCCCTAGGTTAGCCATTAATAAGAATTGAATAGTTGATTGGTCTAGTACGAATCCAAATCCAAGCCTCCAACCATGCCCAATGAAAGTTGAAGATTAAAATAAATAAATAAAATCCTTAATTCTCATCAGCCCAGATTCCAATGGGTGAGGACACAACTATAACAAGATGTAAAAGGAAATATTTGTATACTTTCAGACTGTTTACTCTTCAATGGCTTCTCTTCCCTTCAAGAAAAAGTTAGTACAAACGCAGACAGCAGAGAAGGCCTTACTCTTCAATGGCTTCTCTTCCCTTCAAGAAAAAGTTAGTACAAACGCAGACAGCAGAGAAGGCCTTTAGAATGGAAGATTATCAGAATTCTTTCGTTTCTTTTCCTTCCTCCAGTGCTTTTGATTGTCTATGGATTTTAGGTTAGCTAAGCTCAAGATTTCTTCTCTAGGGCTATAATGTAGTCAAACTATAAATCTTTAGCATTCATTTTTTAATCAACGATTGGTTCCAATTAACGACCGCTGTTCACAAATTAGGAGCGATCACAATCAAATAGGCAATAAGAATCTCGAACAAGTTATGCTCAATAGCGCCTCCTTTTCCTGGCGAACTAAAATCAAATACCAACAGATGAAATCATACGCAAGTTCAACTCATCTTAAACGATACTTCGACAACTAAAATCAAATACCAACAGATGAA